TCAGTCTACTTGAAGTTCTCCTATATCAATTTCTGTTTTTCCTGTGATGTCCAGTTTAGCCCTTACCCCTAGATTCTTTCACGGTGTGGCCACAGGATAATATTTATTGGCATATTTCTCATGAATAAGTCCTTCTCAACTTTTAATTAAAGGACTTAATGTTACTGCAGCCCCCCAAAACCTAATAAATACACACACCCAAAGAACAAGCCCAGAACACTTATTATTCTTCATCTTTTACATAACATAATGGTTCTTGCTTTAGAGAAAAAAGCAAGTATAATCATTAATGTTTTTGGATATACAAGGCTATTTTGATTCTCTGACTTAGTACCCATTATAGTATCCAGGATATTCATAGTTTATTGTGTAATGTAAATCAACTCTATTTTTGTAACAAAATAGTACAGAAGTGACTAAGATGAAAATTAGTCTTTAAATGATACAGTGGAATTTAAATAGAGATAAAAGAAAATAAAATATGATGAGTCAACACTGATATAGAAGTCATCCAAGAAATTCTCACTTGGCAAACAAACAAGTTCCTGACCCTGACTCTGATACATTTTTCATTTAAAGACAACACATGTCTCATCCTTTCTGTGATATTTCTCTGTATAAAGAGGTGAAAAGAATTGAAGTACTTCTTTTAATCTCTTAAAACCTTTCTCCTTGGGCTGGGGATTTAGCTCAGTGGTTTCGTTGCCTGCTGCGCAAGCGCAAGGACCTGAGTTTGATCTCCGGCACCAAAAAAAAGAAAAAAGAAAAAAAAAAAAAAAAACCTTTCTCCTTAGGATTGTTTTTCTAATCCTAAAATGATAATGCCCTTGTAAGACAGGTTGAGCGCAACTACCTCCATCATACACATCTGTGAAGACTCAACCCCCATGTCTTATCGCCCATCCTACAAATTAGGCAATCTCCCCTTACTCCAGGTAAGATGATACTATCATGTCTGGATTTATGATTCAATCAGAAGGCCTCTAGACTATAAAGCATGTCATTATTTTCCCTGGGTGGTCTCCAGTGCTCTATAATCAGCCCTTGGTACTTTCTTGTTTCTGTAAGTCAGCCTTCACAGTTCTCTACTGAACGCCCAAGTGTACCAGAAGGAGAAATGTACTATATTAAATCAGTTGTGACTCTTAACACACTATGAAATGAATCATAGACACACTTTACACTGTGAGATTTAAGGACAGGTATTTCAATGCCTATCCATGACACTGTGTAGGGAAGGCAAGACAAGCAAAACAGTGCTGAGATGTCAAGCATAGCAGGAGACCCACTCAGAGGCCCAGAGGAAAGGTTCTGCAAAGCAACAAGCTTTACCTCTGTGTACTCTGCCTCTACTGTATGCAGCCTTTGCTCTGCTGACGGATGTTAATCATATTAACAAAAACCTTCTGTTGACTTTTACAAAATTAAATCTCAAAAAAAACTTGACTTAATTTTTCTAATACAGGGCCAGCAAAGATAAATATTTAAGAAAACTATTCATTGGGAAGGGGCCAGGGATTTAGTTCAGTGGTTCCGCCGCCTGCCCCAAGAAAACTATTCATTGAAATGTACCCTTTAAAAAAAAAATTAAGTGATATACTGTCCATAAAAATCCCTTGAAATACATCTCTCTTTGCCTCTCTCAATCACTTTTAAAAAAAAAAAAATCCTTTTACTCCTTTAATCGACTCCAAGGCAATTTAAACATGAGAAGATGTATTTCAGGCTACACACTGTAATGATAAAATTTTCTACTTTATAGAAATCAGTCCAGTTTACCACCAAATGCATGGTGCAGAGACTCTTTGGATAAATGGATATTTCGAATTAGCTAATGGAAAGAGATGCTGAGGCAACTTATTTTCCTAAGTAAACTGCATGTAAGTCTGTGTGAAATTTAAAGTCAAGTGTGGGGACTTTGGTTTTCAACTTTCTTGATATGAATAAAGCAAATCTCTTCCTCTATCTACCACATCCAGTTGTCTTACTCACCACTCTTCAGGGATGTATTTTTAATGTGACTTCAGATCTTTTCTATGTTTTTTTATTGACTGTTATGACATGGAACTTTATTTCAAAGATAAACCCCTCAGCTATTTTTCTAGCCACCTCAATACAAAAAGGTATTCTCTGATGTTAGATAGTTTTAAAGAAAGGATGAGAGGTGTACTGATTTGGCTTAAAAATGATTTGTTGTAGCAATTTCTTTTCCTAGTAGGGTATTGTGTCTGGCTCATGACCTGAAAGATACTTTGCAATTCAAATTCAAATGCCTTTTGGTTTTACATATTTATATTTGTTTAACATGTATTATTACAGTAGCACATACTTTGAAATGAAATAAACATTTGGCAATTTGTAGGCATGCAAAGTGTGAATAAAAATAATATCTTAACATATATTGAAGAAGAAGAGGGAGATGTTTAAAAACTAAATTGTTAGAAATGAATATGGCAAAGTTAGAGCCTTGTTCATCAGTTAAGCACAATAAATTCTGAAAAATAAACTCTCCAGTCACGTGTGGTAGTCATAAACACATAAGAATAGTAGTTCAAGCTATCAATGAAAAATTATTATAAAGTTATAGATTTCTTTTCCCAATAATGTCTTGATATATAAAAATGTCCTTAACCTGACATACTAAAATGAAGGCTAATACTACAAAGGTGGACAGAACAAACTGGCAAGCATTCTAAAAAGTCAATGAATAATTGCCCCAAGAGTAATTCCTCTATAAAATTGCTATAAAGTTGTGCTCCACTAGCACTAGGGCTTTTATTCCATTTGAAAGTAAGTAAAACATTTCCATCTAATGCTGAGGAAGTGTAAATTGGTGCAACCTTTCTGCAAGATAAAAGCCTTAAAACTCAATAAAGTCTTGTCTCAGCAAGACTTTCAGGAATTTATCCTTAGGAAATGATCACAGATGACCAGAGATTAAACAGGTAAATATTATTCACTATAAATATTTACACTATAAAAAATTAGAAAAAAATCCAAATGTTTAACAGTAAGACATTACTTATACTATGGTGCTTTCACACATGAAATTCTGAAACGACACTAGAATGATGATACAGAAGAATATTTAATTACATAAGCAAATACTAATTATATACTTTGGGTAAAAAAATCATTTTTAAAAATAATTCATACTATAGGAATTCATTATATGCAAGTGAGTATACACACAAACATTATCTCACCTTTCTCTGGAATATAAATATTTTTGTACTTTCCTGAACTTCCCTAGATGAGAATTAAAAATACACAGCTACCCTACTATGGAATACATGATGTTCCAAAATCATAAGTCAAATTTACAGTATTTGACAATTCATAGCAAATACTTCATGAGCTCAAACAATTTGAGCCTTTAAATAAAATAAGTGAAGAATAATGTCAAAGAAATTGTAATTCTTACTTATTTCAAGTGTTAAGCCTTTTGAAGTTAATATATAGAAAACAGAACTTAAAATTAAACCATAGCAAATTTTAACAGCACTTATAAGAACTCCATTCCCCTAGTTTAATACATACTTACATGTGCCAATGAAATAACATACACTACTTAGGACTTTCAATACATGGCCTAGTATTAACTTGGTCAAACTCAAGGCAATCATATTTCATTCTGAAAATTTTCTGTTATTCTCCAGGACAAACTGAGCATTGCTGTAGATATTTTTTGTGGGTCAGTCAGTGAAAATAATTTTGCAAAAGAAGATAGGAAGCAAAATCTGTACTCGATTAAATATTTCACCTCACGTCATATTTCTGATGACACATTCTAAGTGAATCATAGCATCACTAGCTTGGTATCACAAAGATCCTTCAGATTTTTTCTGAAATGATGAAGCTGAGAAGGAACAAATGGTAACTTCCTTAAAACAAGAGAACCAAAATTCTTTACTAGCTGGGCCGGTTAGCCTGAGTGACAATGTATATGCAAGCACCTCATTATACACAATGCTGAGAGGTTTTGCTGGGTGGGAATTCAGGAACAGTTTCTCTAGTCCCTGACCAATGTAGTTAAAAGGGCAGCTAGTTCAGAAGCAGCAACGTGGTTCTGTATGCCCTCTTCCTTCTCACTGGTCCCTGTTTCAGTGAAGCCAACCATTGGCCTAGAAACCTAGGATTTTTCAGTCAAGCTTGTTTGCTTTGGCTAAGGCCTGCCAATCTGTGCCCCAAATATACATTTATTACTACTTCAAATATTCTGGTTTTTTCCTACCCACAAGTGAGCACCATAAGTTTTATTTTGCTTTATAATATTGAAAGCAAATGGCATCTTTATCACTAAAACGACAAAGAAATCTGTATCAAGTATAACTATGATGGCAGCAGTTGCAGAAAGACACCAGTTTTAGGAATTTGGAGGCTTGTGGGCCTAGTACAAATGGAGGCCACAATCAATCAACAGTGCATGCCCATATTGGAGGGGAGGATGTGACAGTTTACTGCGTTTCCTCTTTGTCCCATCACAAGCTAGAGAGTCTCTGCTTCTGCACCAGAATTTAATATAATTTGGAAGGGACTTCTTAGTTCAATTATGTTGTAATTTCTTTGGGATTGATGTTTTAGTAGTATAACATTTCTTCCTAGTCTTTATTTCAAACGTATCTTGGCTATTTTGTGGATTAAATGTGGGAAATCTAACCATCGTTTATAACATTATTTATATGGGTAAATGTGTGTGATTTTCCAAGTAAGTGACTTTTATAATGAATTGTTGGAAAATAATCCATTCATAAAGAGCCCTGCACCCACACATTTTGCGACCACCCATGATTCTAGGCATATATTAAGTACTCAATTACATTTATTGAATGACACTGAAATCAACAGAACTCAGATGCTGCTTTTAAGATGACATCTCTGCAATTCTAGAGAAGTTTCTCTTTTCCATTTTATCATTCTAGTTTCCAAGTAGTCTCAGGTCAAATCCTGACTTCTACTAAAACATTCCCAGTTCACTCCAAGTTTTCATTCTGTTTTAGAATATCAAAGAATAAGAAAATAGATCAGAAGTTAACATGATATCTATGGAAAAAGGTAAGCACATCTAATGCATAACTCTGTCAGGGGAAGTTGGGCATTAATTGTTATCAATGGAATCCAGGACTGGTTAGAGATGACTGGGTGAGAGAGGAGGAAGGAGGAGCCACAGGAGGAGGGCATTAAGCCCAGTGTGGTCAGGAAGTCAGGAAGAGGACATCTTGTCCCTTTTCTTGCTCCTTTTTTTTGTTTCTTGCATATGTGTGTGTGTGTGTGTGTGTGTGTGTGTGTGTAGACAATTGTTACTGTAGAAATAAAGTTCACTGATTACCATTAGTTGACAGTGCTATCAGTTTTTATTTTTGGACTGTTTTGAAGATAAAGTGGGAATAGTTCAAAAAGTACCTCAGTTTTTGTGTGTCAGACAGATTTCCATGCTCCATGTGCTCCTATGACCTGAGAGGACCTTGCAAAGCTGTCTAATCCAATGCTACTCAAAGTGAGGTTCGTGACTATCAACATTAGCATTGACTCAGAACTTACTAGAAATGTATCCCTGACCTTCTGGGTTGGAAACACTGGAGGTGGGATCAGGGAATATGGATTTTAAATATGTAACTACTCTGAAGCCTACTAAAGCTTGAGAATCACTGTTCTAGTTTACTCCATGAGCTTGCCTCCCACCTTTACTAAGAAGTGTCTCATAAATTCCACATTATCTTCCTGGTGACCAATTTAAATTTTTAATTCTAGATGAGCTGGATCCTTTTATATCTAGAGATCATGAGGATAATTTATCATTCTGCAATGTTTCTGATATTTATTAAAGGAGGATTTCACAAGATTTATTCATTTAACTACTATTAATAGCATCAGAAATATTTAATGATTTTTTTCAAAGTTAAAAATAACATTCTGATAAAGAGTGCTATTTAAAATTTAGTCAGGGATTCTGGTTAAAAATAGTAAAGGAAGCTTTTTAGTACAGATATCTAAAAATCACATAAAAACTTTAGCAACCTAAATATATATTTTGGTAAGACTTTAGAAACATTTTAAAATTCAGCTTTGTTTAGATTCTTAGCTTCCTTTCAAACAAGGGACAAAAAACAACAAAAGCAAAAAATATATAATGATGGCAAATACAATAAAATGTTGACTATCAAACAATGATGGACTAAAATATTACAAATCTGGATGGAGGTTTTAAAATTTGAGATTAAGAAACTTTCAGGAAATAATTCTTTTCCTATCCCCAAGAATTCATATTTTATTTTAAAAAATGCATCTTCTCATTCTTCTTTCCATAGCAGGAAAATATCTAGGCAACATGGGTGTGTGAAAATCTTCTGTGTACCACTTGGTTACTCAATTTCTTCTGCCTCTACTCTCCTCTGTTTAGGGCCACGTTAGTCTTCTAATTAAGTTCCCATATGAGCTGTTTTAATCCCTGTATTGTTTCTGTGAAAGCAAAAACCACTTCTAGTTTCCTTCTTTACCCTCTCTCTGTTAATGCAGCAAATTCCAGAGATTGTGGGAGTCCACCGCAGACCTAGCCAGAGAAAAGTTGGCCCTTGGAAACTGGTGATTAGAACTGGTTGGGGGAAGCAAAAATTTGACTTAGCTGAAAAGAGGGTTGTGGAAGAGGAGATGGAGAAAGGAGGCTGCTAAACACACAACAGCACGAGGGATGTTCTGAAAAAAGGCATTTCTGTTTCAGATGTCATAAATTATACGTTTATTGGGTGTCTGCCCTACCCCAGGCTTCTGACTCTTTTCTTAAATGCCCTACAGTCTAGATGGGAGAGAAAATTAACTTTAGCATACAGGAGCACACAACTTAGAGAGGCATCTGACTTGGACTTGTAAAGGAGACAGATATCTTCCCAGGAAAAGTGATGTTTTACTTACAATCTGAATGGTAGTGAGAGGGACCATCCAAGCAAAAATTGTGTGTATGTATGTATGTGTGTGTGTGAATGTGTGTGGGATGTTCTGTTCCAAGTCTAAAGACCAGCATGAGAGGAGGGTGGAGGCCAGAGAAAAGAGCTCAGGTTCTATCATAAGGAAAACCTAAGCAATGACGACCTTTGGAGCTGTTAGTGGGAGAGGAAGGGAAACAATTGGTTTGTTTGAAAAATAACCCTGGATGCAATCTGCAGATTTGAGCAGGGCAAAAGTGAAACTTGGAGACTAGTTAGTGAAGTGATATTATGGAGCAGGCACAAAATGACAAGAGTAAGGGGAATGAGGCAAAGAAAAAGGTGTGTCGGGAAGGGCCTGTTGAAGGACCATCTCGCAGACCAGGCTGCAATCTCTGTTCCAGCTGCATCATCCCAAACATTGGTTATTGGAAGCATGTTCTTCAACGTGTTTGAGGAGCATGGACACTGCTTCTATCTCAGGGCTATTTTGATTTCAGAAAGAGAAGACCTGAAGTGTTTTATACAAAGTTTTTTTGCAAGTGCAGGTATGAACCCAGAGCACTCTATCACTGAGCTACACGCCAGTGTGGAGTGACTACCTTCCTATGTCCCAGATCATCAATATGCACTGAGTTGTTTACCCTATAGAGGAAGAAGATAATAGCACTTAGAAATTACACAAGTTTGAAATTTCAAGTTTATCATTTCCATGCTGTGTGACCTCAGGAAACTCCCTTAACTCCTCTGGACCTTAGTTTCTTCATCTAAAACAAAGGATGATAATAATGATAGTACCAATATCATGATTATATTGTACAGACTACCAAGTTAATTCATAAAGTGTTTGGAAAAGTACCTGGCATGTAGTAAGCACCAAATGTGAGCCATTTCTATCACTCTCAGAGCAATTAAGAAAACCAATACTTGGAGGTTGAGATAGAGATTCTAAATTACAATGAGTAGCTAATCAGAGTGGGAATGAAATCTAAATTATCACGAAATCCCAGTATATTGATTTAGTGATAGAAATATTAGGTCAACTAGAGCTAGAAATTCTCCCCATCTACATAAAGACTTTTTCTAGAGTCACCGGCTTAACTTTATTTTTATAAATAGCAACTAATTTTGTGACTTAAAATCCTCATATAAATAGATTTTCCCTCTAATCAAATGCTCATTCACACATCTTCATTTTAATCTAAATTTTGTCTTTTGAATTATATTCATCATAGCCAAAGTAAATTTTACTAAAAATCTGACCTTTTAAACTCTCTTCAGTGTGACACACATTTTTTTGGTAGGAAATTTGAATAGGTTGCTATTGAGATCTTGCACTAAATTCTGTAAGGAATACCATGGATTCCTTTCCTCACTGAAGTGGGGAACATCACAGATGCACTTGCTATTACAGGCTACTGTGAATTCAGCATCTCAGTCTACTTACAGTTAAGTAGAATGTTTCTGGAATTGCACTCTCCCCCTCCTCCAAAACAAAAACATCTTCAAAGCATTTTAAGATTGGATTGGAAAACAGAAAGCATATTAAAAATCTCCAAAAGCATACCAGAGCTCTCCATACCTGTTTGCTAACTCTATTTAATAGGTTTAAAGGATGTCTATCCATTGATAAGGTAAGTCTCCCTTTCATTAATATTTCACGCACAAACTGTTTATCACAGGAATATTTATTTATGGGCATGATTGCACTTACTAGAGTATGTTGATCAGAAGGGGTGTTCAATAAATATTTGTTAGTGATTATAATTACAATTCATGTCAACTGTGACCTTTTTGCAGTTCCTGTGTAGGATTGCATTTTGAAAGCACCCATGAAATCATACTGACAATCATCCAGCTCAAGAAATATTTCTTATTTATTTAAACATTTTGGTCTCTTGTTTTACTTTTATTTAACCTAGAAATTTAATCATTGATGGATGCAGGTTATGTTTCTTTACGTTTTCTACTAGATAGAAAACTTTCTTCTAGAATCATGTATATTATTCTTTCTGATTTTTACAATATTCCTGTAATGTTTTAGAGTAGAGATGCTATTTTTATGAGCAACACAATAAATGAAAGATGAACACATTTATAAGAAAGCAAGAAAGCTTACTAAGTATATTGTGATTCAAAATGTTTACTTTTTCTTAACTTTCACGGACTAACTACAATGAGTGAAAAAAATGCAAGTTTTGAATTTATAGAGAAGATGTCAAACATTTAAGTTGTTATGGTCAGTAACTTAGTCTATGCACCAAAGATAAAGCACTTCACAAGATATTCTTCTAATTCACATAAAAGTCAGTGAAGAGAATCTTGTCTTTATGATAAAAAGTCCTTATTTTGTTTTTATTCTAGAAAATCTCTTTTTACCCATGTATCAAACAGTAAAAAATTACTATTTTGTTAAGGGCAAAGCTTGCAAACTTAAAATGCATCTTACATATTCTCTGGAGAAATTACTTGGACATTTCTTTTCTATTAATTTGATAATTTGCAGGATATTAATAAAGAGAATTTACTTCATAACTGATGTAGTCATGTCCCTGGAACCTATTTACTCTCATTTCTCATAATCTTCAGAAATATGTGTCTGGAAAACTTTAAGGAGTCATAGATAGCAATGCCAGACCTCATATCCAGACCCATGTTGATAAACCAGTAATTCCATTATCCATTAAGGGCTGTCACTTCAAAAATATTCAAGTTGACTTGAAAATCAAAATGAGGTCAGTAGCTGCATTTAAACTTCTACCAGTTTTCTCAAATAATTTAAAGTATGAATAGTAAAATAAATTGAAAATTTACAGACTATTACATTTCAGATAAAAATCTGAGTACTTTAATAGGAACACATCATCATAAGTCTTTCACCTGCTCTGGGTCTTACATTATTAGGCAATTTCAGGAACTGGGGTGCACGCTGCAAATACCTCCTGCAAAGGTGGGCGACTCTGACACATGACACAAGAGTAGGAACCAGCAGCTTTCAGAGGTTGCTGGGCACCTCATTACTACTTTGAAAACTGTATCCCCTTTCTTTCTTGCCTAAAATTGAAAAAATACTTTTTCTCAGCATTCTATACCTGTTGTATAACACAGAAAAGCAATTTTAATAATAATTACAAGTCTGGAAGTGTGTCTCAGTGGTAGAAGAACCGCTTGGCATACATGAAGCTCTGAGTTTATCTTTAATGATGCAAACTTAATTAATTAATTAATGCAACAAGAAATGTAATATCCACAGAAGGCAAACTATATGCCTGGTGTTACCTTAAGTGCTTTAGGTTCAATAACTCTTTTAATGTTCATTTTAATCTACTGTAGCTATTATTCCCATTTTACAGATGAAAAAATTAGGATTTGGGGAAATAAGGGACTTACTCTAAATTCTTAGCAAGCAATTATTAGAGATAGAATTTAAACCTAGTTCAATTAATTCTAGATTACTGGCAACAGGATTCTTACAAAATATTTTGAGGTTTTGAAGTTTAAATGTCACTCCACCAATTAGAATCTTCATGATAATGAAATAGGATTTGGGGATTTTTTTTTTCCTTTTGGTGTTATCATCTATTTTTTGATATGTAAGTGAATATAACAACTATCTATTATTTAATTTTTATACAAATTACAAGAGATAAGGTATATAAAGTGCTTCTATCAATGCCTAGTACTTGGTATTTGTTCAATAAGTTCTTGCAAATAATAAAAACACTAAAATACCAATAATAATATCCAGTTATGAAGAACAGTGTAAGGAGAAGTTAACTTCTGTGAATATGAGTTTCAAAGAATAAAAAGAAAAATATTCTTTAAGAAAATTCTGTCTTATGTGGTCTAGAATTCAATTAATTCCATTGTATTTAATGTCCTTTTAAGAAATCAAATAATATTTAACATTAGTTTTTAAGTAGTCATCTACTGTAAATCCTTGAAAGATTCAGTTTTCAAAACTCTATATTGATTTGAATTTTATTATGCAAAACAACACTTCTGTGTACAGCCCTCAGAAAATGCTAGAAAGTGTTTTACCGATAATACAGGTGTCAATTCTGTTACTTTTTCCTTTTCGTTCCTTGGAAGCACTAAAATGAGAGCCATACAATTGACTGAAAAAGTAAGTTCTTACACTTGGGGAAATCGTAGCATCAATTTCAGGGGCAGACAGTTTTGTTTGATTTTTCAGTCTGAAGAACAGACTCACGTCAAACTGCAGAAAGAAGCCTTTCCCAGATTCACACAAAGGTGAGAGTGACTGTACTTGTCCAATTGGCTCTCTCAGGACAAGTGATGTGGGATTTTCTTTCTCCCCCTTTTTTTCTTTTTCATTGACTCTATAGATTCTTTCAGTAACAGAAATGCACAGCAGCTGACACAGGTCTCACAACTGACAAGCAAGGCCCAGAGAGTCTCCTTTCCAGCTGAGTTCATCTCCAGAAAAAGAATTCCTCAGCTGGGAGCAGGAAGGTGGCACTTGGACAGCCCTGAACTATCCCACGGCAGGGCTTCTAGTGGCTCTTCAGCACTTGAAATGAGGCTTGTCCGACTGAAGAGCTATATGTGCAAAATACAGAGTACAAAGAATTTATAAGAAAAAACAGAATTTGATGTGATGTGAGATTTTCTATGACTCACCATCTGTGGTTTACTAGCACAGTTACTGCATAACTATGATATGATTAGTCTCCCTGGAGTCTAAAAGGGAATTCATTTCATCAACTTTATAGATAATAATAAGGACGGATAATAGGGCAGGCTTCCATGTGCCAGCCACTGTGTAAATCATGTTTCATTCATTATCTCCTTTAACTTGCTCTATAAAAAGTTACACTATTAACTCCTTTTATAGATGAGCTGGCTGAGCCATGGAGGATTTAAGTAACTTGTTTTAAGATTTCACAGCTGAAGCCTACATTATGTAAAGGGGTCTGTCTGATTTCAAAGACCAGGCTGATATTAATTTATTTCTAAGACTTCCTAATGAATCATTTGAGGATAAGCAGTGAATTGCACCATATATAAAAAAAATAAACAAAATACTTTTTAAAATTCCTCTAAATCTCTGTGGGATAAAAGCATATCATCTTTCATATAAAAAGTTCTAATGCATTTGACCTCATCTGCTTCCCAGAAAGCGTAGTCAAGTTGTGAACAAGATGAAGTGTTTTCTTCTGTTATTGAATGCAAGAACTTGGGTCAAATTGTACCTGCAGGTATGTAGAATCCAATTACATTTGATTTATTGTTAAATCACTTATGTCAGTAACTGAACCTGTTAGAAGAAAAGATTAAGGCTGAAGTATTTAAGGATACAATGTTGAGTTACAAAATATATCTTCCTTTTGTTTTATTTCTGAAGCTATTTATGTGCTTGCCAAAGGAGCATTGTCTTTTTTCAACTTGGCAAAATGTACAAAGCCATGGTTATTTGGATACCTACTTTACTTTAGGAGAGGGCAGTGATTAGGGAAAGAGTCAATGAATTTTGGTAGACAGATGTCTGGGAGATAAATCCTAGAGTGATACTTGAATTCTATCCTCAGCAATAAGCTTCTTCTAAAAACTGGGTATTGTCTGAGAACTGAGAGTAGAGAATCCCTTTTCTGCTCAGTTTTATGTGTCTAAAATAGTGGCGTGAAATTGACAGTAGTTCATAAAGCAGGAAAGGAGAAAAAACAAGCAAAACACAAAGGAAATCCACTATAAACCCAAAATAGCACAAAGCAGGACAGCAATTGTTAACTAGGTCAAAGAATTATGTTCTCGGTTTCTTTCTTCTGGGGATATATAAAACAGCTCAAAAATATCATTTCATTTATCTGTTCATTTGTTTCCTGGAGGGATAGTGATTCCCGTTCAGCAAGAGATAAAACTCAAGCAGAAATGAGTGCATTGACTTGGCCCAAGTGCACTAACTAGTTCCTAATAGCTGTTGAAACCACCCCAAAGCTCTCCAAAGAAGAGCAAGTGGGAGACTGAGAGGATGCAACTGTCTAGGAAGTTTCAAAGAGGATAATTCAGAATTCACAGAAATTTAATAGAAAGCAATTTTGAGACTATTTTAACAAAAATTGTCACAAGTTTCCATGGTGCATGCTTACAAAATGAAATTGCAAAGACCACATTCTAGTTAGCCAGTTTTTCCGTTTCACAGATTATTATAGAAATTAACTGTTAAGGGAAATGTGCTGACTTTACCAAAATTGAAGAAAATCAATAATGTGGGAATTCTGTCAGGAAAGGACCAGGAGAAATTTAAGTTCAGGTTCTAAGTGATTTTTCAGGATGGACTCTAATTTTAAATATGTCACACTAAGCAAATCCAGCTCACCTTTATTTGATCCTTGGCAGTATTTCTATAGCATTGACTGTTGTCATCATACACTAATTCTAATTCTTATGTAATTTTAAAAAGCCATCTCTACTGAAGAATTTGTGATAAAATGATACTGTTAAATATCCATTGGGTCACCAATGGGTTGACACTGTGTTAAACGTTTGACATGTATCATCTCATTTAATCTTCACAATAATCTTTTAAAGGAGGCCTATTTAAGAAAAAAAGAATAATAGTTACAAAACCCATTCCAATAGAGAACCTGTTTCATTGGGCTAGGTCAGCCATACTGAATAGAAAGAGAGGTCAAATCATGGAGACTCTGGCATAAGCTGGCCTATGAATCAAGACTGCATTCTGAAAGGGCTACAGAGATATTCATGGACTGTCAGGTAACTGGGAACTACAGAAGAGGAGTTGGTTGAGGGAAATGGCAATGTCCAGAGGGGATGCCAGGTTGTCCTGGACCTTTTTCTCTATGACTTCTCACCATCTGTCATCCCATCCTTAAAGTCTGGCCTGTTTAGTTAGACCTCCATAGTACCCTAGATTCTTTATGCTCTTATTCCTTATGTTAGCTGCTACTTTCTCTCTCTACTACTTCAGCATATCACTAGTTTATTATGTTCAGGGTTGTGCATTTATAAGTCACATGCATTATGCATTGAAGGTTCAGCTTGTAAGTATGTAATTAAAGGAGTGAAATCAACAATGATGAATATGACATAACCCTAGCATCCCAATAAAAAATTTAGAGTTATTAATTTTTTATCTTAAAAGCAGATATTGGTGAATCATATTTTTCTTCCTTGAGCACTAAGTTATATTTAGTAAATCTCAAGTGACTTTACAAACATCTGTGGTATGTAGAGTATAACAGGAGGAAGAGCGCTGACAAAAATGAAATAGATATACAGGTAGTCCTCCTATACCTTGAAGGTGGAGAACTATTTGGATGTACAGTTGGTACTCAGGATTGGATAAGTGGAACATCAATCTCTGTAATATGCACTGGGCAGGAAGGAGGGGAAAGAAATTGTGCTGTTGGAGGCAAAAGGGCCTTTCCACACCCATTGAATTATACCCCTCAGGCAGACACCTACCATCTGACCCTGACTGTGGGGCGCGCTAGGTTTTTCCACATGAGGCTCCAGAACATGTGTGGGAAGATGCCTTGACTGTCAGATAAAGCCAGGTATTCATTTTATGTGCCCAGCTCAAAAGATGCTTCACTACCCATTCATTTTTGTACAATGTCCCAAGCCTCACCCCCGCCCCCCGCCGAAACCCATGTATGAGTTGGCAACTGCTGCTTAAAGTTCTTTAAAAAGTCTCAAAAAGGAGTTCTGAAGTGTATTAGTATTTGAATCTAGAATGTCTTGAATTCCAAAGCACTAGAATAATACCATTATCACAATTTATTTTTATCCCACCTCATCTTTAAAGAAAACAAAACATTTGTACATGATCTAACAACCTATAGCTCTATGAAGCTATAAAACCACATATTTGTCAACTTTAAGAATATAAACATAGTTTTCATTTGATTCATCATATTTATTTCTTTTTGGTCAAGCATTAAAATAGTATTTCCTACATTAGCTCTCACACTGCACATACTTCACCCAAGGGAGCTTTTAATAAAGTTCCTAAACATAATCTGTTTTATATTTTCTTGTGTGCATTTATAATGAGATAAATTCAAAATGCCATTGAAAACAGACAAGCTATTTCTATTCTATCCCTCTGCTAGGCAGACTACAAGGATTCTGTAAATGTTTCTCAAGACATTGTAATACCCATGCATTTACAGTTCCAAAGTCAAGGCAACTAAATTCCATGATACACCATTATGACTTGCTGGCAGATCAGTAATAATTGTTTCTTCTTTTGTCTCTTGTTAAGAAACCTAAAGAAATTAATCATTCATCTTCTCTGATTAAAGAAAGCTCTTTATTTGGACATTATTTTAAAAGAAGATGTCAGAATATTTAGGGCTGAATACATTTCTTCTAATTGCTTTGAATAGTAGTTCACAGAATCTGGCTGGAAAACCTTGTCCAACACTGTAAAGTAGTTTGAAAACCATATTCCAGCTAAGTTAATATTTGCTTATTTGATTTTTCTAGTTTTAAAGTTGTTTTAGAAAAATGGCATGAGTAGAAACAAAGACAAAGCCACAGGTGTGAAACCAATGAGGATATTAAGTCTGAATTGCAGGATTTGATGAGGGCACACAGGTTGCTTTCATGGTGAGAACTTAAATACACACAAAGACAATGTCAAATTTATAAAAATTCTGCAAATTCCATAAAATCAGTGCCTGTTGGGAGCAATGCTACATAATTCTAGGGAAAAATCATTTGAGTAGGCCTAGTTCTCCTGCCTACAGGCCAGCAATAACACTCCAAAACATACTTCAGGTCACAAGGGAGATCTCAATGATCCCATGATGCTGTAATGCACCAGGACAAGACCACACCTGTGGGAGACGCCCTGGGAGGAACCAAATCTTCATCTGTGTAGTTCCTGGGAGGAACCAAATCTTCATCTGCATAGTTCCTCATTGTTCTTAGATTTCCGCCACCCCCACCCAGTCTTTCGTTACACCTTGTTCATCCCAATATGATACTGAAATCTACATTATTCATTTGTTACATTTGTTTCTTTGGATGGACTAAATAAAAGGTGCTGCAAGCTAGGGCTTCTTGTCTTTGCTGCCCAGAGCAGCACTGATCAGACCCAAAGCTCAGCTTCTTCTCAGTCTCATTTGTCTACCTTTCCTGTAATTCTCCGTGTGCTGCCGTGGCTCGCAGGAGACCAGGACTCACTGCAGAGGTTCTGGTAACGTCCCCTTCCCCTGTTCCCTACAAGTGCCCATAAGAAAAGTCAATGAGCATCTCACCTTTTACTTCTATAACTTGTACTTTGGCAAGTGAATACTAACACCATTTATGATAAATGTTAACAAGTCTTTTATTTTTTCAGTCATTAGTACATGACCAAGGTTCATAAGCAATACTATGAAGATGGAAGCTAAGGTAAGGGAGTTTGATGTTGTAATTCAAACAGCTTGTAAAAGAGCTGATCCAATGTATATTTAATCATCCAGATAACTGTTATTGTACTGCCTAGTAATTAGGTGTGAATGATAAGCAGCTCATGTAAATGAGCATATTGCAACTATTACCAATATAGAAATTTTTTGTAAGATCTTACAATTTACAAACTGTGTTCAAGTATATTATCCAATTTAATCTTTTTCTTTTTTATTAACAACTTCAGTATTTCAAGGGTCAGCTGAAGGGAAGGAAGAGAGAACACTATCAAATTGAAAAGGAACTCTGAGATTCTCAGAGTACTTTAGGGAAGTGTGTGGTTTAAGAACACTGAGAAAAACTTGAGAGTCCTCCAAACCAGGGTTAAAATCTTGGCCCTACCCATAACTTGGTTCTGTGATCTTGCATAGCATTCCGACATTTTCTAAGTCAGCACTTTTTCATCTGTAAAAAGAGTGTGAGGGACAGACTGCCATGGATCAATGAAGACCAAATCATCCTGCTATACTTCCTGTTTGTGGCCCTTCCTAGTGCAGCAAAAATTGGACATATTTTACAAGCCTACAAAACACCTAAGTCAGAATCAAAAACATTTTCTTTGACATTCCATCTCAATTTTTAATCCAGAGGAAAGAGAACATTTCTGTATCACATTTAAAGTTTATGAATGTTCCTGTTACATGTGCTTTAGAAACCAGGATACAAACAAAAAGTATAATGAGGTCTAGTTTTTCTTGATGTAGAGAAAACCAGCCTTTACCCTTTTTAGTGAGATTCATCCACCAAAATAAAGTGAAATAGGATGGAATAGATTCTGGATAGGAAGAGAAAAGGGGGAAGAAGGAAGAGAGCTGTGTAAATTTTCACTGCTTCAGAAAGATACCAGATATACTGAAATTAGGATCTAACAAATTATTTGTCTTATACACCAGTGTTACGCAGGACCTGAGGTCGTGTCTCTTCTTCTACACATTATTTAGGGTTAGACTCTGTCTGACGTTGCACAAGGTAGGATTTAATCTGGGTCATCAGTTATGAGGAAGAGTTTTCCATATTATTCAAGAACAATCCCACATACTTCCACAATCACCACACACACACACACACACACACACACCAGCTTATTGGGAATTATCCTCACTTATAAATATCTTTCGTTATCAATGTGTAATAATGAATGATATCAACCATATCACAAGATTATGACAAAACTAAACTGAAATAATAAAACACTGAAATTTCCAACTGCTAAAAGAATGCTGTTATACAGTATCATCCATAAATTAACTTCACCATATGGCCTTCAGCTTAGCTGCATACTGGAGCCCTTAGCAATATGTCCCATTAATGAGTACGTTTTTACAATTAGAACACAATTGCGCATCCCATTATTTGGGGGCTGCAGATAGTCAGTTGGAGAAGATAAATTCACCACATATGAGTCTTTAACTAAATAAAGGTATATATTCATACACATATGTTCATCCTTTCACCTTTGTCTATTTATGTTTGCATATCTCTCTACATATAAGTTTAATATGGTCTCTCAGATAGGTACAGTTCAGAAAGAGCTGGTTTTGATAATCCTTCTTCATAAAACCCCTGTCTCATGTGGCAAAAAATTTTTTACCTCATCTCAGAGAGTACTTTACTCAGATTGATAGTACCCATAAAATGACCCTGCCCACCCACTGGAATCTCTGGGTCATCTTGGAAGTGAGTTGGCTCTCAATTCTTGGGACTATTTTTCAAAGCTCAGTTTTCCTTAGTAGACACAGTCTTGGCATAAGTGTTAAATCCAAAACTATTACAAGATAATCAATGAGAGTTTTGTAACTTTCATTTCACAGCTATTTTCCCACTTCATCATAGATGCCAGTGAATGATCCTATTACAAGAAAGATAAGCAAATACTTATAGGTAGGTCCTCAACACAGAATGGTGAGCTCACTCATGATGCTATAGAAACTGAGGGGAATAATGTATCAGGAAGAAGGCCAAAGGTACAGATTCCCACCCAGGTCCCTTTCTCTAATATGCTTAATTTTCAAGGGAACATCTATTTATAGTGCAGTCTAAGTGCTTCTGCTGTAGGCAGATGCTCATTTTCTTGTATAATGACATGGAGACAAGGAACAGGAAACAACAGGAGGCAAAATAAAACTGGGTAGTTGAAAAAAAAATTTGCAGTGCTACAGATTTCCAAAAACTTTGGGAGAGACAGCCATTTACTATGATACATGAAGATCTGAAGTACAGGTCCGCAAATCCAAACTCCTACATAGTAAGTTCCCAATTTAGGAACATTCGAGCTGGGAACTTTCACAGATAAGAATGGACCTTA